TAGACAAGAGCGCCACCGACCCGCTGACAGCCAGAGTTGGGCTATAGCACTAGCGGTTGACGCTGCCGTGCGATGGTAGAGATTACGGGTAGAGCCGGTCGGTGTTGATGGCTGTTTGTTGCAAGCGGTGTTTTGACGTTGTACTTGTTCTACGTGATGAGCTGCAGCTCATTATTGTTGTTGTTGCGCTTGTTTGCTACACTTGTTTACGGGCCTATCAGCTGCTGGCGCTGTTGTTCCCGATTTTGTTGTTGTTGTTGCGTTCGACGTTATTATCAGCAGTTCGGCGCAACAGCATCGCCTATGCGGCGTTTCGGTGTTATTAAGGTTCCAATATGAGGCAACATTAAATAATTGCTGCCAGGGCATAAATACATATGTATATGTACGAGGTGAATATGTATGTATGTATGTATATATACCATACATTGGCTTGTCTTTAAAGGCTTTTGTTGTTGTGTGCGTATTTCCCATGGCGCCTCTTTTATTCCCGCTGTTCGGTTTGCTTGTCACAGTCATTAAGTTTCCAATTTATGAGCATCAGACCTGGGATGACCATTCGCAGCCTCATTTGCGGACTATCCTAATTGAGAAACGTCTTTTTCATTTTTTGTTCGAGTTTATTCGTGAAAGAGAATTAGAGATTATCCAATAAATAGTAATAGCGGTAGTTCTGTGTGAATTTTCCAACAAGCAAACTGACAAAACGGTCACCCATACATATCTATACCTACTAAAGATTTGGACAAGAACTCATTTTAAATCACCTTGACTATAGCTAGGATAATTGAAGATTAATGTCTCTGCTAATCAACCGTCCTCTTTTTTACATTCGCGTAGGTAATATAAATTAAAGGAGTTTTCTGAAGGCATGGGTTAAGTAGGGTTTTTCCTATCTTAATTCAATTGCCATGGGAACTATCGAATTCAAGTCGTTCTCTCTTACCCGTTTCAGTACCAATCCTTTATCCATCGCTTTATGATTCCCTTCTCATAACTTAAGTCCGATTGTATCTTCTTAAGGCAATACATACAATTGTATTTGAAAAACAACATTTCGATCGTTCAATTTGTATACGCTATAGTGATCCGATCCCAACAATTTCTTCGGAGATTTCACCATTGCCTTAGATTATAACCCATGCCAAATTTCGTAAAGATAGATAAAGATTTTGATCGGCCAGTTGGTATGGCAGATAAATGCTATAGTGATCCGATATCGGCGATTCCGACATATCAGCAGCTGCTTAGAGAGAAAAGAACGTGTACGAAATTTTAGATTGCTAACTCAAAAAGTAAAGAAATAATTCGCGTATACACAGACAAAAGGACGGACAGAGGGATATGGCTAAACCGATTCAGCCCGTCACGCTGTCTCCGACTTTTCCTTCTGGGTGTTACACACTTCGTGGCAGACTTATATTAAAATATAAATTTTTTCAAAGGAAAAAATTGCTTAATTATAGAACTGGGCTTTAATAATGTGGCGCATCGACTAGCATTGCAATAGTCTCATGAATTATGTGAGTTTATTTAAGATCTTTGAGGTTAGCGAACTTGATGAACATAGGGTCAATTGACCAGAGATTGTTCAATGACTTCATTTGCGATCATAAAAGCATGTTTTTCTTACCGGCTGTGAGATCTTCGGTAAACAAACCGCAGATCTTCGAAGCCAATGCTTGCGATTCTGGTCATAAAACTTTATACTCTTGCATTCGATGATCGAGCAAGTGTTAAATTGAATTTTACCCAAAATTTGTCTTTGCCAATTCGATTTTTGATCATATCTGATCTGGTAGGCCATTGTATGGAGATCTAAGTATATACAAATCATGCAGAAATTTGTTAATGATCTGATCATTTAAAAATATTTAAGTCTGTCTCAAATGAAACCACTGAAATGATCAATACTAGATACAAAAATTTATTAAATGTATAACAATTGCATATGCTTTATGTATGACCAACACTAATTGATATTCGTCAATCCGCCAGTCATGTTACCAAGCTTATGTACTTTCTTAATTTATATGAACATACATACATACATCTGTATATTCTTTTAATTAGAGTAAACTATTTGATTACATTTGCCACTGCCTTCACTTCACACACCAGTTTCGCTTTCCGTCATTTCACTTATTCGCTATTCCGCTTTCTTCCAAAAGCATGCAAATTGCTGCCAAATGTGTAAACATTAAATTCGTTTGGGTATGTGTGTGTATGTGTGCTCCATGCGTTTTTGGAAAAATAAAGCAACAAATACAACAAGTCCCCAGCATTACAATCAGCAGCTGCACATTCCAAAGTGCATTTTCGAATTTTCGAACATACAATGCCGTTGCGCTCTTTTCCTCTTGGCCGCTAGCTCTCTTGGTTACGAATATTCGAAATTGTGTTCGTATTGGATGGCTCTCTTCTGGTATAACAGTTAGCTGACATAAACATCTGTCCGGTGACGCCTTCACTTTTGTATGTACATATATATGTATGTACATATTTGTTGTCAACATATGGTAGTAATTTAGTTGTTGCTTCTTTGTTGTTGTGTTTAGCATTTGTTGATAAATGTATGTATGTGTGTTTGCTGTTGGATCGTATAATATTCTATGTAGTATAAGTAAGTATGTATAAATTGTTTGCACATACTATGTATAACAAATGTTCATTCACAAAAAGCTGATATTTACAAAAAAAAAATATTTATTTTGGAATTAAAATTAGTTTGAATAAAAAACTTAAGATTGCCTCTAAATACCAGGGGAAATAAAGTTATATGAGCTTGAGAAGATAGTGAAATCAGTCATGGAAGTTAAAAGCTTAAGTGAACCCTACAAGAACAGTGACAGTCATATGACAGTCACAGCTGAAAAAATTTTGTCAGCGCGCAGAACATAGTTTTCATCATTTTCTGAAGAGCCTTGTGCAAAAACTGATGTCAACAAACGTATGTGTGATTTTGCATCTCTCTTTAACACATGTGTATTCGGAATTGATTCAGTATACATATATCTCTACCGCTCACTCACATGACTTTTTCTGAGTCATTGCTAACCATAAATCCATCATAGCTGTCATTTGTCAGTTATGACTGTAAATCTATCACAAGTGAAAAAAAGAAAAAATTTGCGCAGTAGATAGTATAACTTCTATCTCTTTAATAGCTTCAAAACTTGTAATTAAAATTAGTTACAATAATATACATACATATATAAAAATGGAGTGCAACAAAAATTTAATAAAAAAATAAATTATGAAAAGAAATTTTTCCTTAGCTCCATGCTTGTTCCTCTTAAAACCTCTGTTGAACGTGTTTCTCCAGTTCATAAATATTTCGAAATATTTAAAAATGCCTAAATAAAAATGAAAATTAACTAAAATTATACTTTTATTTGAAATTAAATAATAACTTACGTATATTCTATTTGAAAACTCTTTCGTTATTTATTTATTTTGTAACACAATAAGAGTTATTGCACAGTAGCAATCAACACTTTTGGTTTAACGCACAGAATAACAGCTACATAAGTATTTCACAACTTCCCGAAACTTCTATGGAAATGTATGCTGTCTCCTTTCGACGTATACAGAATTTGCTTTTGGAAAAACCGTAAACATTGACAGTCATTTTACTGTCAGTACTGACATAATAAATATGAGTGTATTGGTGAACCCACCAGTTGTTGTAGTCAATATATCCACTTGTAAATTTCACAAAATTTATTTTTTGGCATATACTTACATATATCGAATGTACAAATGTAGGTACGTACTATATTTGAAAATATTTTCCGAATATATAAGTTAATCCGTAAAATATTTTCGGAGATAGTAACATATTTGTAAACAATTGTTAACTTAGCGGGACGGGCTCCCAAAACTTTAAACGCCGTTTTCTCGAAACGGTGCTTTCAGAGTCAGTGAGGAAAATACCTCTGTAATGATTGAACCGATTGGCATGAATTTTCACGCCTCAGAAATATACATCTCGTAATGCTCGAGGTATGAAATTTTTGATAGAACTTTTTTAAGCCCTTTGAAGTTAAAATTTTTTAAATAAACTACGACTTATTTTTAAGAAGGTTTTCTCTATAACTTTTTTGATTTTGGCATATGGATATCAACAGTTATTTCGAAACCAAAAAAATTACTTTCGGAACGAGTGAGAGGTTACTCGAACTAGTTTCCCTATAAAAAAATAAGTAGACCAGAACCTAAATCACTTTCGAATAACTCATAAAGTTTTTTCAAAATCTAACCATTCGGCAGAAAAAAACTAAAATCAATATTTGTCGAGTTACACCCGACCTCTGACGGCGCTTGAAGGGCTTCTGCTGCCTTGATTCTGGCCTTATCCGTGAAAAAAACCAAAAAAAAAGTTCTCTACTAAAAGTTATTGTCTGTATTGTGGGAAAATTGGACAAAATTACGTTTTAAAAAAAATTTAATTTCCGAAAAAATTTGGTGCTTTTGGCCTGTCAATATTTGATTATGGTTCAGATCAAAAACTGGTAGTTCATTATATAGAGAACTGTATACAGCACAAGCAGGAACAATTTTATATTAATCGAATCATTTCTCTCCGAGTAATCACTGCAACAAATTTTAAAAAATTTCTAGAACTACACTTTAGAATGCTGTAACTCAAAAACGCTTTGAGACATCGATTTTCATATGTTAGTATGTTATTTTTAATGCTATAACCTATCAATAAGTGATAAAAGAGGATTTTTTTAAATTTCCCACTAGGTGCATTCTTTAAAGATAGTCTAATAAGATTCTATTAGTATTATTGTAAGTAATTACAGAAACAAGTATGTATTTTTTTATTTCAAAAATTTCATGCATATACCATTCCTATAAGTTTTCTCTTTTCTTCACCGCCACTGTATATAACTGAAGAGAACACATTTGACCCTATACAAAAATTAAGAGACACAAATAATGTGTAAATAATCAACAACAAAAATGCAATTTCGAATTTCGAACATAAAAAGCAGCAAAGTGAGCGCGGCAAACAAACAAGGAGAGAACCCACCACCAGCGCCGACACAACAGAAACGCAAAGCAACAGTGCGAACACAAAGCGAAATAGCCGAACAATCGAACAGTTTGAAGACATCAACTTCCCCAATAAGATGTTATAACGCGGATAAATAAAAACGTGTCGAAGTGCTAAGTAAATTGAAGAAGTTTCCAAAAATAATTGAAAATTCTAAATTAAATGAAATAAAAATGTTAAAATCTATATAAGCGAATACTTAACATCGCTGAAGGGCGTAGTGAGTGATTTAGTGAAGAATCTATGAAATTTGCCAGAATTGAAGAAACTACTTAAACTTGCAGTTAATTTGTAAAAAAAAAATTAAAGCACATTAGCGCAGTGAACAAAGCAACAACAACAGTAATGCGGTGCAGTGTTGTTTTAGAATTGTAAAATAATAGAAAAAAGCTGTAAGAAAAAACGAGTGAGCACAAAGCATTCTGCTTCGCTTATTGTCAGCCTGTTGCACATTGAATGCACACACATACATACATATATACACATATAGTAGGCACTTAGATATTTGCTTACCTACAGTGCAGTGGCGTGTTGCGAATCAGCAAGAGGAAATGAAAAGTTGGAAAATAATTGTTTATGCTGTGAAAATAAAGTATTTATGTACATAGGTAGAAAGTGTTGTGCTAGAAGCAGCATAAAAATAGAAATAGCAGCACAAAGTGAGTGGCTAAATATAAAAGCAAACAAAACATACATTCATATCAAAAAGCATACGTACATATGTAAGTGTTTAAAGTGTGGATTCTTAAATGGTTAAACAAAAAAAAAAAAACAAATCAAATGAAACCAAAATTACAATTTTGATAAAAATAATTTAACAATAAAAACGCAAGTGAAAATCAAAGTGAAAAAACTTATTTTTTCAAAAAAATAAAAAGTGATGAATTTGAATATATTTTGAGGAAAATACAAAAAGTAAGCACTGAGGGATCAAGTATTGTTAAAATAAATGTTTGATAATTACAAACCGCTCAAAATTGTGCTAATTACAATTACAATAACAAATATAGAACATGCGCGTCTTTTAACACCGCAAAGAATAGACGAATACTATATGAAAAATTCGAAAAAAAATCAAAGGTCATTAATATTCTGTCAACTTTGCGCCAACTTCGTTGCAGGAGTCGCCATCAAAGTTGTCTCATCGAAAAATTCACCAAAAGTAGACGTGCCCAGAAATACAAATTCTCTTACCGAAACTAACCGGCAACGCCGAGTAAGCAAAAAGTGAAATAAAAACAAAAATAAAAACATCAAAAGTCAAACTTGTCTGCAACTTTGCGTCTAAATCAACCGCATTGGCAACTAAAAAGCCATAAGAACCGAAAAGCGCAAGAAGCCACGAAGAAAATTCTCCAGCCAAATATTCAATACAACAACTACGAAACTCTCAGAAAGCCGAAAAGGCTAAAAAGGCGGACAGCGGGCACTGACAGGCAGGCACACAGCAAGTTCATTGCATTCATTGATGACTTTTTCCTGGAAATAAACCCACAACAAGAACAACAACAAAAGAAACTAAAAAAGTAAAGTAAAACTCACGAAGTCAAGCATATTGGTGGCGCAGCAAGAATCGGGAATAGCTGTGAAATGCAGTGACCAAATCCAGTGAAAAAGGTGTATGTATTTGTATGCTAAACCAAAAGTAGCCAAGTATTTGCAAGGTGTAAAGATTAAATAAAAGTAGTCAAAAAGTGAAGTGCCATAAAATCAAGATAATAAAAGTAAATAAAAATAAATTAAATAAAATTGTGAACCCAAAAGTGTTGCGCAAACAGCGCCAAAAATAAAGCAAAAAACAAGCGTAGAGAACCTGAGCAAACAGATAATTGACCAAAGTGCGAACGCCAAGTGCAACTACAACAAAAACAGCAGCAAGCAGCTTGTGTCAACGTTCGACGCCCTATGAGATTATTGAAATAGGAGAAAAAAGTTTTCGTTTTAAAAACACAACGCTGGTTACTTGCGTCTAAAGGCAAACATTTCGGTTTTTTCGTCGTTGATTTTTGATGCTTACCTCGTCGCCACTTAATGCCATATACAGCGCCCAACGCATGTTTGATAAATATTAACATTTATTTTTCATAGGTATGTACCCGCTACACCCAAACAAATATCTGTACATACATATGTATGTTGCGCCCTGTTTGTGTACCCACCTTTTTAGCTATTTACACCTTGTATGAGACTTCTAGCCTACTAGCAACTACTTAGAGCTATGTATTTGTTTGTATGTTCTTGCTTTTTCATTGAGTATTGTGAAAGTAATATGGAAGATGGTCGATAAGGATTGATGGTTAAGAAAAATTTTGAGAATAAAAAATAAATTTCATCAAAATATTTGTCAGCATGGAGGATTTGGTAAAATCTTACGATTTCGTCCCACAAGAAACCTTTCCTTGCTTCGATTTATAAAAATAATCAGTTTTTAACAGTTTTTGATTTGATATAACAAAAGTAACTTGATGATATAAGTAACCGATTCTCCAAAATATCATTTTCCCTTTGTTTAAGGTAAATAGAAAAATATATATTTAACTTAACCGCAATTTCAGTAAATAAAATAATTATCTGGCACATAAATTCATAAAAAGTTATAATTAATGTCAATATTATTAAAAACACTCCAAAAATAGTAGAAAATTAAAGAAATATAATATATACATATGTGTATCAAATTCGGTGTTCTTCGACAACAAAAAAAAATAATATTTATACTCGTGACTAGGGTTGCAAATAATGCTTAAAAAAATAATTGAATGAACATTTGAATTCAAGTTTTTTTAATTTTGTTATTCCAAATACGGAATTAACATTTTTCACGTTCATTCAAACAAAAAACAAAATATTTTCAATATTTAATTCTAAACATCTGGGATTAAAAAGTGAAAATCAAATTTTTAGCCATACAATGTAGTTGTAGTAGTTGTAGTACCAAAATCTCAAAACTCAGCACTAGTGTTGCAAACTGTGTTTTTTTTTCATTTAAAAAATCTAACAAATTAGCTTAGACTTAAAGAAATGTTTCCCTTGAGTTTTGCAATAACTTTGCCATGATTTTGGAATATTAGATTATCAAAAATATAAACTAAAAGCTTTTAACATCTGACGCTGATAATGCACAGTATTTGCGTTTGATAAAGAAACCAACAACAAGAAGCGCCTCGTGTTGGAATAACAACAAAGAATAACCGAACACTTGGGAACCTACAAACGTATTGACGTCAATCTACTATTCCAAAACAGATTTTTATCGAAGCATTGAGTGCTAAAGTGTAAACAAAGTCTATGCCGCCTTAGAAATACACTTGGCGAAAAAAATTAGTGAAAAAAATGAGAACTTACCGTTTTTGGAACTCGTAGTTGGAAAATATTTCGTTTAACTGTGAACGCATGTTTCTTTAAATTTTTTCGAGGTTTTCTCATCAGTTTTTGTGAATTTTAGTACTTTTTTATTGTTTCTTATTGAAAATCGGTCGTCAGCGCACCTATTATATAATATTGAATTTATCATATAGGTCTGGAATTAAATAGAAGATTTATATAATATATATATTATCCAAATCGACTTAAGATAAATCAGAAAAAAATTCTTAAAATCTACATTAGATATATGTATGTACATATATGCCAAAATTTTTGGAAATTTAGAAGTGGATAGAATCCCTTAAATCCTTTATTACTCTCACAAAGCAATCAAAATATTTACATATATACAGAGAGCGAAAAAAGTTTAGGTTCTCAAGTTACTCAACCATTTATAGTCTGCAAATCCAAGTAAAACACAATCCAATGCAAAAATATAAATACTGAAGTACTAATTTTTAAACAAAAAAAGCAATAATATCAACAAATAATAACAAATACGACAATGTAAATATAATAATGTCTATTTTCACAGCTCAGATGGAAAATTTCTTCAAGGAAATTTAATCCAATTCATCATTATTTTACCCGCTTACTTACCAGATATATACCAGTTTATATATGTATATGTATACATATATATGTACTTGTATGTAAATAGGAGTTTGTAAATAATTGCACCAAAGTCTTACCACAAACATCTGGATCCGACGAGTTAACACTGTCGGTCACATTTAAGCCATTAACAAGCAAATACAAATCTAAAGGTATTACATAACGCATAATCAGGCAGATATATTCCTGCTAAAAGTCGTGCATACATATAGCTGTGTACGGCTAACTATATGCTTCTTATAAATATGAATTAATTAATAACAACAAACAGTGTCTTTAGCATTCGCGCTTCACTTTTCAAGCTGCTTACACATTCAGTGGACATTTTATTATATTTTTTTTCGTTGCTAAGTTTAGTTTAGATGCTAACTGCCGAAAAGCAGGAATTAAATCAGAAGCAAAAATATACAAATATATGTATATAAATATGTACATATTTACAAACAATATATATATAAATATGTATATAACTAGCTAGTTTAGCGCTTTTTCGCTAAACACTTTTATTAATTCATTTTTATTTATTATTATTATTATTGTTTTAATCTGGTTCGCCAGCCAGCATGACATCACCGGTGTGCTGAGGAAGCTTAGCGGCATCTTTGTGTCTTAACTTTTTATTTATAAATAAATATTTACATATACATATATGCATATACCTATATACTTGAGTGTATATGAGGATTCGCTTAGCGCATAATTCAACTCGTTTCGCTGTAATCGAATGAATTTTTCAATGAGTGCGACTTTAAATTACCATTTAACGCCGTTTGTTTATAACTTTGAAGATATACAAGTAAAAGAAGCTCTAAAGACATAAATCAGCTTGCTAAGGCAATTACAGCGTAATTATTTACTAAGCGTAATAAAATATTATTCTGTGTGAATTAAAAAGTTTATTTAATTTATATAAGGAGCATTTATATATACATATATATATATATATGGTATGGTAAGTACTGTGAGAAATTGGTTGAGACACCTTCAAAAAAGGCGCTCCAAGTATTAGTATAAGTATAATTGTACTAGAAGGTCCTCCGTATAACGGTTTTCTATTTTTTTCGTTATTATCAGATAGAAAAATTCATATCTCACTTCCAACTACTTGAAAAAACTATAAAATGGTCTCTTACGGGTTTTTCGTAAACCCAACCATTTAAAAGATATTAACTGTTGAAGTTTGACTTTTTAAGGCAAATTTGTTTTTTCTTTTTATTTGTTATATTATCATGGTCTTGTAGGATATTTTCTGCGAAAAATAATCTTTTTTTGACCGACCCTAACATATGTACTCTATATACACGTGTATATGAATCTAAATATCTATGAAAACTTTTATTTACTTTTCTATAAAAAAAAGTTCTATACAAGTAATTAAAAAATATAACTAATTTTTGTGATTCTGTTAGAGTTTCGCATTCTAAGTTTGAAATTCCATCTTATTTTCAAGCTTCTCAACATATTCATAACATAAATATAGGGCTCTAAAGCACTCGGTCTTCTTATTTTTTTCACTTCTTTTTTAGTTTCTTAACCGTTTTGAATTGTTTTTTAACTCTGTTTAGTTCTTTTCTAACTATTTTCAACTTTTTTTCATTTTTTCCGCGAACCAATGAAAAAACTTTGATATAATATTATCCAATCAGGTGCTTATTGAAAACTAGCTTTTCAAAGTATTAAATACAGAAAACTTCTATTAAATTTGGAATATTTCAGAGCCTCAAAAAATATCGATATATTCTATAAATCGCATATAATTTTTAAAGTTTATTTAATTTGTTGGGCTAGGGTCATATCCTTGATTTTTCTGTGTGTCTAACCTCAATTGAGGCTTTAAATACATACATACATATGTATATGTGCACATATATATACATTTGTGCGAAAAAATTTGTCTGTGAATATTGTTTCAAAATATATGCAGAGTTGTCTAACTTTCTAATAACCCTTTAAATCTTCCAATAAAGCTATTATTATCTTGTCTGATAATACTTAGTATTTACAATTAAAAAATTACAACTCTAGCATTGACATTGGAAGCGCAAGCCCTGCTGGAAAAATTTAGTACCTTTAGTTAATTGATTTGCTTTGACAAGAAGAGTACTCATACTTTCCAAATTTCTTAGTTTTCAATAATTACAAAGTCTAACGGTTCTGAAGAGTTTCAAAGATGCTCTTAAAACTATCTAAAAATTTCAAAGCCAAAGCGATCCCAACATCATCTAACCAAAACTTGTTTCCAAAAACCGATGAAGGATTTTATTTCGAATAAATATCTAACTTCGTCGATGTTTTTTAGAATTATCCAGATACGTAGATTCAGAGCAAATTCAATATAGTCCAAGCAATTTCGATTATCGAATAGCTTGTAGGTTTTCTTTCGAAGAAAGTTAGCACCTCTAACTGTAACTTAAAAAAAAGAAAGCTTTCCGAAAATTCAGAGCCAAAGTGTTCTTAAATTCATCACAGAAATTTGCTTCCAAAAAACTATAGAAGTTTATTATTTCAAATGAATATCGAAAAAAGTGTTCTAAAGAAAGCTATTTGAAAATTCAGTATCACAGCGATCTCAACATAAGCTGAATAAATTTGCTTCCGAAGAACTATAGTGTATCCAACACTCGTAAGAGATCTTGATTAGAAAGAAGCTTAAGCTTCAGTAGCAAAGCTGAAAGCAGAGAAGCCGAAAAGTTTTATCATTCACTTGTTGTTTGCTGGTGCACAACCATATAAAGGTCACTCAAATCCTGTACTGCAAGAGAACGCTGGAGATATTTTCGACTGAGTTGAAACACTGGAGATATGTATATATGTATATATTTTTATAATTACACAGCATCAATTTTTGCATCGTTTTTATCAGCAAAGTACATATATAAACAATTTAATAGAATCCTCCACAAACACATGCTAATGCAATGCAAACGCAAAGTGGAGCATTAATTAAGACAACAACAGCAATAAAAACGAAAGCAAAAATAAGAATTACTCGTGATAGCCGCCAAGCAAGAGCGACGTAGCCCGAAAGCCGCTTAAATAAAGTTCGCGCATAAAAACTTCCAATTGTGCGTTGATAAATGGCGCTGCATTCTGCTTACTTTTTTACG